TTTTATGTACATACAGCTCGACCATACAAATGGTAGCAAATATTAAGCGCATAATCAATGATTTCGACATCAATTAGGCAATTGTGCGAATTTAAATATCTCAATGCCGTTAATTACTTTGCTTATTTAACTTTTGCAATATCTATCATTAGTAAGCATTTTATCATTAAATAAACAAAAATTATGTAGCTCAATTTAGTTGCTATTGATTATTCCAAATGAATTTATTTATCAACTAAACCAGCTGTAAGAGATTATGCAAGTACCAATACAAAAAATTGCTGCCTCATACACAACACACGCGGCCGATAGACGCATGCAATTGACACAGAAATTTAAAAAAATTTCGCTTTGATGAAAATCAGGTTAGCGCCACTTCTGCACGGCATGCAAAAATTAAGCGCAGAAGTATCAAACTCGAAACATAACGACGAATCAGTCAACAACGTCTTGAGGCCATAAAAAATGATAATAGCTGTAACAAGATTCGTGTATATACATATGGATGTATGTATGAAGAGTCGGCGTAAGAAATGGCATAAAATTACTAAGTTGCCGTCAAAGTCGCGCCGTATTGAAGTGTTTGTTTTTTGTTTACCTTTTTTTTGTTTTTTTTTTTTTTTTTTGTAATCGAGATTTACATGAGACATAATACTGATAATAAAATGCAAAGCGAAATAGGTCAACGGCGGCAAGCCGGCAAAGGCAGTGGCAGTGGCAGCGATGTAGGCTTAGCCCACAGCATAAGGCTTAGCGAATATGCAGTTGTTGTTGCAGAATGTTGTTGCATTATATGATGTTCGCAATTAATGTGGCACATTTGGCAGGGAATTAGTGGTTCCGAAAGCAAGGTTGCCGTAATTGCAAAGTGCTGAAATACTTTATTCCTATATACTTTTATGGCACTGGCATCAGGTGTTTATGCCTCCTTTTGCAATGTTGGCCAAATGCAGCATCAGAATTGTGCTGAAAAAAAAGCGCTAAATGTGCAGAGTGGGGCATATGTATTTATGCATGTGCATATGTAGATAGATATGCATGTATGTGTTAGAGGTTTATGCCGATAGGCTTTTCGGCGGCGGCGTCTCCAAGTTTAATGTCTGATGCATCTTCCGAACACTGTTCCGTAGAAATTTGCGTACATAGCTGACAAGCTCTTACTAAAAAATTCTCTTAAATGGATGCTACTTATAATTAGTGTTGCCAGGTAGTTGAACATAAAATCGTCAAAATGGTTCTCGAAAATCATCCTTTGTACTGAAAAATCATCAACACACAAAATATCAAAAAAAAACAGTGCCCGGAAAAAATTTTGGCAGCTAATTGTTATACGAAAAAATTAAATATAATACAACTTTTACGAATTACTAAACTTCACATTACTTATAAGTTATAACAGCAATATATTTAATTGCATTTAGATAAATAACATACATATTATTCAATGAACTAACTGATAACAAAATTTCCTGCAGGAAATATTTCCTTATATTTAAATTAGAAAATTGCCTTAAAACTTAAGGGAAAATATAATTTTCCCATTTTTGCTCATATGGCAACACAACATATGGTATGTTTTGTGAACTAGTCAAGTAAAACTGTTGTGAATTCATAAATTTGTTATTATTTTGTTTTTAATAAAGTGTGTTATGATTTTATATGGTTAATAAAATTTTAATAAAAAAATAATTTTTTTTGTTATAAAATCTTCAGTAAAAATATTTCTAGAGAAAAGAGATTGTTTCAAGTTTCAGTAACCTTTTTATGGTTTTTTTTTGACGATTTTATCATCACTTGGAAGATTTTTAACAAAAATTTTCTGGCAACACTGGTACCCATCATTTTTGATCAAATAAATATTTATTTTTTTTTTTAAATGAATGCATGCAAACATACTGGTACGGGAGATCACTGAATTAGTTACAATGTAAAAAATACAAAAAAAAAGTTATTTACCGCTAATTCACTCAATTTATAATACTGCCATAGCCTTAGAACACATAATTATTGATCTATTGAAACCAAATATTAAATCAATGAATTGTGCCTATTTGAAAAATATTTATTTTTTAAATAGTTTCAGATGGCTGAACATGAATAGTAGGGTTGCAAGTGTTGGAATCCGGCTGCAGTTTAGGTAAAAAGTACAAACTTTTGAATAGGGTTGCCACCTGCACAAAATTTAGTATCTCCAATATAATACTGAATAAAATATTGCAATGCCTTCTGGAATAGATTGTCCTATGTTAGCTGCTTAAGGAAATTGAAAAAAAAAATAATGGAAAATTCTGGAAAAATTAGTTTTCCATAGTAGGAAAGTATTTTACTTCTTTAATTTTTAGGTAATATTACAGTTGAAATGGTTGCCATGTTTAAAATTGTATCGACGAAGTCCACATAAAGTGCAATGAAAAACGAATCTTTAACCCTGGGTAGAAAAGATTGTCACTATGGGCTGTTTTTACAGTGATGAGTTAATTCTCATTCGAAAGTTAGCTACAAGTATTCAGTACAAAAATTTAAAGTTAACTGCCGAATTTGAGTTAAGCCCCTACCGTAAAAACGGCACTACATAGAGCAACCTATTCGTGGGGTTTAACTAGCACGTATGAATAATAACGTTTGGGCATTGTTTCAAGATGATAATTCAGGTGAGTGAGAAAAAATCTTGGGTCCACTAATCTTTGAACACCGAAAATGAAGTTTTTCGAATAATCTTAAAAGATTACAAAAATTACTATTTACTATGCAAAAAATCAGCAGACTACCAGTATGCGACTCTAATTTAACTTCCGATAGAAAAGCGTGTTTCCTATGGGTTTTTGGAGTTACGTTTTTGTTTTAAAAAAAAAAAACAAAGAACTTCATATTTCTCTTAAATTTATTATTTGCTGTAAAATAGCTTCATTAATAGTATCAATGTAATTATGCCATGCAAATTTTGTACAAAATTTCTCAGGCGCCGTACCCGAATTAAAAGTAAACATACGACTTGAAAAAAAACCGCAATAAAATTTGGAGAAAATCTTAATAAAATTCTATGAAAGAACGACCCACATTTTGGCTGCTTATATTTCTTATAAATTTTATGATGCTTCTTGCAAATTCTCAAGCGCGCATTTACACTCTAAAAGTTAGCCCATAAATTCTTAAAGAATGCAATGAAGCTATGTAGCGCAACTAAATGATGTTAAATACTACAAGAATGAGTACTCTTGATTTATTCCTTAGTAATTTCAATTCAATATTGGCTATAACAAAATAAAATGAAATTAGCGAAAACACTATTATTTTCACACAAACAATTGAATACTTATTCATTTCACAACTAAGCCGAAAACCGATAGAAAACCCATCAAAGTCATTTAATTTTTTTTGCAATAAATATGTTTGTATGTACATACGTATGAATATCAGTGAGGGCTAGCAGGTATTTAGATGCATGTGAACAATCGAAGAACACAAATTATATACGCTTCGACCTTGCAGCCAACGGGCAGGTGAAAGCTAAAAGTTTGTTGCTTTGTTCATCGCCGAAGCGGCACAAAGAGTGAGCGAAATTCTTTTTTTTGATATTCGTATGTAGTAAGTGGAGTTAGTTCTGCTGTTATTTTTGTTGCTTTTGGAGTCGGCGTTGTATTTCACGTGTGTTGGCGTTTGGGTTGAGAAGGTTTCCACAGCAGAAAAATCCTATAAATTTAATTAACAAAAATCATTAGAATGGAAGAAGTAATTGATTTTGCTATATCTAAAAAAACTCAGCTCCATTAACACATAGACTGTGTTAAAATTTAAATGCAGTTACTCGCACACACTGTCTTCCGCGTGGTATCTTCTTCTTATTTGGCACTGCAACCATTTGTCGGCTTGGGCCGAGACCGATCGATAGAGGTTTTAAAAGTGATACAAATGTTGTAGATGTGCTTGGGTATAGGTACATATGTATGTTGTTGCTAGAGGAATTACTGCACCAAAAGAGAAACAACATGAAAAATGTTGCTTCAATATTGGTTATTTTGTTTAGAAATAAATAAGGCGGCCCCGCTCACTTGACATACACTTAGGGGGAAAAATATTAAAATCAAATAGAAACGTAATTGATCTTACTATAAACGCCGACGATAGTACTGTATATTGGTAAATATTCAATTCAATTACGCGCATATTAAAATGACCGCGTTCGTACTGAAAAAGCATCCGTGAAGTGAATAATCAACACAAAAATTAAAAAAAAAATTTAATTTGCATGTTGCCTGCAGTGGAATTCGAACCCGACCATCTCCGGATACCAACAACTTGTGGCAAGCATCTTTGCGCACTCAGCTACACCCAGCCATATAAATTTGCTTTCAAATGTTGAATATCCATCAACACCACAGCACGCGATTTGTACGGATAAACATGTATGTACTATGTATGTATGTGTGTGTTGTCACCGCTCTCAGAGCGGCTCTCTGCATGCTTGGGGTGCGTATGTACACTTACATATCCATACTCAGATGTGAACAGTCAAATACTTGCGTAATAAATATTGTATGAAAATATTATTTTTAAATACGAACATTTTTAAACGATAATCAATTATAAAGTATTAATTTTTACTATGCATTATTTCTCTCAGTGTAGGTATTGTAAATGCTTTCATTTCGACACTTTCATGAAGAAATACGAACTTCTTTAGAAATTAAATAAATGTAATTCTTCATTTTCTCCAAAATTCACAAAATTTTGATGGCTTTTTGAAATCTGTTTTAAGAAGGCCGGCGATTTTTTATTTGTAAAAACTTACCAGTATGCAACCATCAATATAATTTTAATAAAACAGAACGCAAGAAACTATATTATTTTCCTCTTTATTTTTACCACTTCGAATTTAGCATCGGAACTCAGCCGCGACGTTGAAATGTAGTGGCATGGTGCCACACGAAACCAGTAAAATTCTAAAAGCGTTCTATGAGAAAAAAGTTTTCGGAACCTCTGCTGTCTAATTATGATGCTCTTGCTCAGATGGTTATCTTACAGCCTTATTATCTATCCCGAAAGATAAGCCGCACGAACAATTCGTCTGCAGTGGAATGCTTTAAAAATTAGGCCGGCGGCATCATTTAGCCGGTTTAAACGCAGCCCAGACGATTGCAACGTAATCGATGAAAAGCAAGCCGAAATCGCAATCAGAGACGATGTCGTCTGCAGAAAATTCGTTCATGCAGCCTATCGTTCGAGATACATAATAAGGCTGTTAATCGAGCCTGTCTCGATATTGTTCAAAGAACTTTTAACTGGTGGTGGTAACACACGTCACAAATGTTTTGAAAACAAATGTTACTTTTAAGCCTCTACCTTGTAAAGTATTTAAGAAGTAAAGGCTTTGCTCTCGTTTGACGCGCATTTGATATTTATTTAAGCTCGTCAATTAAATTGATTCTGAATTACTAACTAGGTGGAAACCCTGTGCAAAAAAAAGAAGCCGATTTCCTACGATTTGACTTAAAGTTTGCGCACAGACCATTTTCATACTAACTAAAAGTAGCTTCAGAGATAGCGTATCAAATTGGTCCTGAACTAATGCTCAGACAATGCTACTTCTAACCACGAAACGCTAATGCGAGAGGGATGACAACGCAAGCCATGGATCATAGCTGTAAGAGTGCAACTGAACTTAAGGCATTGGTCAACCACTTAACTTCTTCTAAACTTAAAACACTGTGAAACAATTGTTAGTCTAATAAATGAATAACTGTTGTCATAACATTTTTCGGTAAAAAAATTACAAAAAAAACCAACTAGACAAAGTTTTGATTTGAAAATTTTGTTTGGGGCTATGCGCCAACTTGGCAAAACAGTTAATTAGAGATGACCTATCTCCCGTTTGTCGGATTTTTCCATTACATACAACAGTGTAATCGCTTATAGAGTTGCTGAGAGTTAAGTTTCCAAGAAAAGTGATTCATGGGCACTTTGCTATAAACTGAGCTTAATAAACACTTCAAACTTAGAATAAAAATAAAATATATGCCTTAAACGATAGTTCCTGTATCCATGCATATGTATGTATGTCTATTTTAAATGTCAGCAAAAAAGCGAATAATGCTCAGTTATCTAAAGACCGCGTCACTATCATACAATATAACGCAATTAAAAAACAGCTATAAATTATTAACTGTCTACATATTTATGTTACGCCGGAGCTTAAGAAGTATACATATTTCAAATTAATTAAAATCATACGACCTAAAGCTAGTCACATTCTTCACGCATAAGCTACGCTACTAACTTGCATAAATATGTATGAATTTATTTATGGAAATGTGTCCCAACGCCTACATACGCTACATAAATAGAAATTCTTGAGTTGTGCTGCGAAACACTGGACACTGTTGGTAGGCCAACTAAGTAACTTACATATCGCTTATCGTTTGAAGCAGAAAATTAAATATTGTGATCCCAATATAGAAGGGCCTTAACTCTTTTGCCTTCAAAATCCAGCATTGTACAAAACTCTGCTAATTACTCATTAAATACTTAATTTAATAAATCCAAAAATAACTACTATGTTGGTTACATTACCCAATAAGAACAGCATTTGAAGAAAACTTTTTCCTAGAAAGGTTTTCTAACTTAAAACTTAGCAGGTACAAAGTAACTTATCGGAAAATCTTCAGCTTTTGAACTAAAATGTGAATTAAATTTTTTATTCCTTTGAAGGTCTTCGGAGGCCTTCGGCAGGACTTGGAATTGGCCCGAAACATTCCAGTTTATCGATAAGTTTCAATGATTTGATTCATATCGATAATTGGATGAATTTCAAAAACACTAAAATCCGATAACTCAACAAAATTCGATAACTCGACTAATTTCGATAACTGTGAAAATCGAGGGTTCGATAAATTTCGATAACTCAAAAATATATATACGCTTTGGATACCTTTATAAATTTTTACTTTTGACAGCTCCATATTTTTCGAAAGCTATCAAAAAAATTCGATAAATCGTTACGTTCTGTTAATACGATAAAATTCAATAAGCAGTGAAAACTCGATAAGCTTATATAACCTTTAAATTTCGATAAATCGATATATTTTGAAAACTCCATAAACTTCGATTTGATAAATCGACCAATTTCAGTAGATCGATAAAGAACTCCGTGCATTACGAATAACTCGATAAATTTCGTTAAATCGATAAATAATGATAATTCAATAAATATCGATAACTTGATTTCTTTAGCTTGACAAATTTCGATAATCCCACACATTTTTATAGCTCGATAACCATCCGTGAATTTCGACAACTAAGTTTCTCTGTCTAAAAATTTCGACAACTCAATAAACATTGATCAATTTGAGTAATTCGAAACGTTGCGATAACTTAATAACCATGGATAAATTTCGATACTTATAA